AGATTGGAGAATGGGATGCCACCCTGCCTGGGCTCATCTCATTGGTGTAAGTCCTTCCTCGGTGTGGTTAAAGGATGAGAGAAAGGGCCCTTGGGAGGCTTCTGGGGATCGGTCTTGGCTACTGGTGGTGCATTTGACTTCTTTCCCAGGGCTCGTAAAGCTTCCTTCTGGCAGAAATCGATGTTAGACAAAGCTATTATCTTGGATTCCCCCTACCTTTGCAGCTGACATGCTTCTCTCCTCCTGGGATGGAATATGCTAGCAGAAAATGTCACATTTTTTTTTTCCTTAAAGTAAGAAAAAGTTTTATGTGTTTAATTTTTCTGAAAGTGCTTAAGTTTCTCCTTTCCTTTATAAGAAAACTGGTTTTTCACTGGGATTATCCCAAGGGCCACATCCAGGTATATAGAAAAGAGAATGATGTGTGTTTGCATACAATTTGCATATATCTATGTAGACTGGATCATCTATTCTCAGGGTACTTTATTTTTCAAAGAAATTGAATATTTGATCAGTTTTGCAATGAAAAGAACCAACAGCAGTGAAAGAACAATGGAAACCACAGTGCAAGTTCCCCTTCATAGAGAAGATCACCTCTTTACAAGATTCCCTTCCTCCCCCAGTCTTTTGTAAGATTTTGGGTGGCTGTGGTTGCCACAGTAAAGATAGGAGCTGCCATCTGATTCTGTCTCATTCCACTCACCAGCCCTGAGAGGTAGATATTACGTCCAGTCCACACGCAGGCAAACAGGCTTAGGGGGACAGCACAATTTGCCCAAGGTCACTCCTATAGGTGGTGGCAGAGCCAGGATTCAACCCCAAGGCTGTTTGATCCCAAGGGCTTTTTTTTTTTTTTGAACTACTAAGCTGTGTTTTCTATCATCTATGTACTGGCTGGTGTTCTGTCTTTTACACTTGCCATTACTAGCTGTGAACTTTTCCATACAGGTACATAGTTTGTCTCGTTGTCATTTGAACAGCAATGGACGGTTGCACAATATTTAGGTACCATAGTTTACTTAACTTATCTCCCCATTTGGTTTGCTTCAAGTTTCTCAATCTTATAGATAGCGTGGGTGTAAATGTCTTTGTGCAAATAAAGGTGGTTTGTTGGGGTTTTTAGGTATTTGATGGTGGTCCTCGAAGTAGGATTGTTGAGCCAAAGGGTTATACTTTTATGATTCTCCAGAAGGTCTTTGCCATTCATTCGCCCATGGCAGTGATTATTTTTTGAGTGCCTACTGTGTGCCAGGTGCTGAATGTGAAGAGGGATTCAGAAACAGCCCCTCCCTCAGAGAACTAACAGTCTGGTATGGGAGGGATGATGCAACCTAGAATGAAAAGTACGAAAGTGGAGGTTTGGGCAAGGGTCGGTGAGAGCACTGAGAAGTGTGTCCCCTGGTGGTATCTGAGTGTTCCTTTCCTCCCATGACATAGGGCGGTAAGGGGGAGGAGCGCGATGAGCGCAGAGCTGCCCCGCGGCTGAAGCCCGTCTCAGCTTTCCCCAGCGCTGGGTGCAGCTGCCTCCTGGCTGAGGACACTCCCTCCACACACCCACTCCCCTGCCTGCAGCCACCCGCTGGCTGGCGGGGCCTGTCACTGCTGCCCATCTGCCGCTAGGGGGCGCCAAACAGAGGCTGGAGAGAGAAGACACCTGGGGAACATGGTGGCAGCCGAAGCACCTGCCGGTCTTCCAGGTCCCCTCTTCTCCTGTGTGGGTGATAGCAGTGGGCGCCCACGCACTCTGCAGACAGGAACGTGCACCCGAAGTGGACAGCCAGTGCGTTTTCACGCACCACGCGCTGTGCTAGGCGCTAGGAAGGCGGCAGCAGACCGACTTGGTCCTCGACCCTGCGGTGTGCTCCGTCTGGAGGGGGAGGCAGACAAGGAAAGAGACAATCCAACTTGGCGTGCTGGAGGTCTAGACAAGTGGCTGTTGCATCGAGCATTCAGTCCCCTGGCAGTGTCTGCGAGTCTGTTTCCCCAGTGCTCCACTGTTACAGTTTTGCCCTAACACTGTCTCCCAATCTCAGTTTCTCCATCTATAAAATGGAGGGATGAGATCTATGTCCTCAGAGGCCTTCTGACTCGATTGTGCCATGAGCCTGCCTCTTGTTCCTAGAACAAGCCTGAGCTTCCCCACGAAAGACCCCCCTGGCCCTGGCTTTAGTCACCCCATCTCCTTCCTCTTCTCCCCTCCACATTCCCTCCTTACGTGGCGTTCCTGGGCATTCTGCCTCTGGCCTTTCTCCTGTCTCAGTCTACATATGCTTCCGTGACTCCAGTTACCACTGTGTGCTGATGACACCGACAGCTGGATGCTCAGCCCCGTCCTCTTCACTGAGCTTGTGACTCATATAATTATGAAAATAATCAGCATTTGTTAAGTCCCAGATACAGTACTATAATTTTGACATGCATCTCATCTCTCCAACAACCTTGTGAATTAGGCAGTGCCGCCTCATTTTATAGATGAGCAGAACTGAGTTCAGGACACACTGAGACTTGCCTAAGGCCCCAAGGTTGATAAGTTGTGGGGCCAGGATTTGCAAAAAATCTCCATGTGTCCAGCTCCAGGACCCATGTTCTCACCCACCACACTCTATGTCCTAGAGTACAGCCAGCCACCAAAGGGACATTTCCACATGATATTCCACTGAGACCTCAATTTCAACGTATCTAAGCTTGGCCTCATCATTTCCTTACCCTCTGCCCCAATGCACCTTTTCCACTCCTCTCCATCACAGTACGTGGTCCCATCAACCCCAGTGATGCCCAAGCCAGAATCCTGGGGGTCTTCCAAGATCCTTCCTCTCCTTAACCCCCCAGCATCCAATCTTCTGCCACGTCCTAGTGATTCTTTCCCCTTACTCTTCTCCAGCCTCACTACTGTTGCCTTCCAAGGCCATCCTCTTCTGTCTCTGGGCTCCTGCAATAGTCTCCTTACCAGGCACCCTACCTCTTCTCTCTCTGGTCCAGCCCAACCCGTGCACACTGGCCAGGGTGATCTTGCACAGGCACACGTGTGATCACATCAGTTTCCTGCTTCTAACCTGCCACTGCATTCTGTGGCTCTACAGCAGAGCTCAAAGCTGGCCACCCGTGGGCTGAAATCCATCCAGACACCATGTTTTGTTTGGTCTGTTGAACATTCTTAAAACACTTTGAATTAGTCACCAACAGTTAAAAAAAAAAATCAGGAAATTCCACATAAAAGTTCATATTTTTGGTTTTTCTTGCAAAAGTGAAAAAACTAGCAACTCTGGGCCCACATCCCTGCAGGGCAAGGATTGAATGGAGCTGAGTGGTGGTTGCCCTCTTTAGAAGGGGCGGAGGCTCTCCAGTTTGCCTGTCTCCAGCATCCCCTAATGTTTCTTAGACCCTGGTCACGCTTCTGATCACCTGCCTGAGACTTGAGGCCTTTGAGCTGACGGCCCTGCCACATGAGATGAAGCCCGTTGCCCTCAGCATGGCTCCTAAGGTCCCACATGGCCCAGCCGGGAGCAGACAAGCCCTACCAACCTCTGAGTCTCACCCCTGCTCACTGTCCACATCGCACTCTCTCCTGTGTCTTACCCACGGCTCTGTGGATTGCCTCGCTCGTGTCGGCCTCCATGCAGGCTGCTGCTTTGCGATGCCCAGGCCCCTCCTGAAGTCCTGTTTGTCCCTCAAGACTCCATTCCAGTGCTCCCTCTACCAAGAAGCATTCTTTGTCTCCCTGCCTGAGCCTTGTTTTCTCATAACAGGTGGCACAGACCTTAGTCATCCCACCAAGCACACTGTGTTGTATGTAGATTGTAAGTCTGAGCCTGCAGGGAGCCCGTCTTCCTCATCTTTCTGTCCCCAAAGCTTGGCACAAGGGCTTGGCATATACTAGGTGCCTCATAACTATCGAATGAATGGATGAACCAGTGAAAGACTGACTTAGGAAAATAATACTCCAGGATGTGATGTTGCCCCTACTTGTTTGGGGTGAGGGGTCCAGGTGTCTTTCATTCTTGAGAACCCTCCTCCAAGTCCGCATTTAGAGTGACTCCTACAACATCCTATAAACCACGCGCCTGCTTTGCAAGCTCTGGAGTATATCCAAGCTTACTGGGATGATAGTTATTAGCAATGATAGACGGAAAATATATCACTTTAGGTGTTCCTGGGAGAGAGATTTATTCAGTAGTTGGGAAATGGCACAGCAATTGGATATGGTACATTATTCAATTATTTGAAAAATAATGATGATGATGACAGCATCTAACACCCATCGAGCCATTTACATTGTACCAGACCCTGAACTAAGGCTTGCTCTCAGTATATTGTTTCATTTACTCCCCACAATAACTCTGAGAAGTAGGTAGTACTATTTGAGATTTGGGGAGTTTAAACAACTTTGCCAGGATCACACAGCCAGTAAGTGGTGGAGTCGAGATTTAAACTTACATCTGTCTGTCTTCAAAGTTAACATTCTCAACCACCACACCATACTTCCTCCGTGACATATGTCTTTAAAAACGTGAAGAAATTAATGGGTAAATGAAGGCTATACGATTATATATAGTATGATTCCAATCACTATTTTAAAAAAGAGAAAAAAGAAAATCCTGAGGCATAGAGAAAATGACCCATGCGACAAACCCTTGTGTTGGCAGTGGTTGCATTCTGGTAGTAGAGTGCTGGGGATGTTTCTCTTCTTTTCCTCCATCTTGTTTCTACTTTTTAACATTTTCTAAATTTCCTTTAATGAGTATGTACTACTTTTATAATTAAAAAAATCCTCTCTTTGTAATGGCGCCAGTATGAAGTGGCAGAACGGAGATCAGATCAGAAAGGGGCTGCTTTAAGTACCCAGCTAATCAGTGGGGCTGTCTCTTGAGTAGCTGTCACTGATCAGCAAAAGGGATTCTCAGCAGGCAGCAGCTGTGTCCTCAGTACCTGCACCCTCATGGGCAAAGGAGGAGAAGTGGGTCACTGTTCCTGCCATCTCACCATCTCCCCTCTTCCTCCAGGTGCTTATACCCCGGAGCCCCTCAGCAGTTTCCGGTGGGCTCTTCTCTCAACTGGCCTCATGTTCTTTTATCACTTCACCGTCTTGCAGATCCTCGGCCTGGTAAGTTTGGTTATATCCCCTTCTATCCCTTCTGTTTGGAGTTCTCCATAAATCTTGATAATCCTGGTTGGCGCTGGTGTATGCTTTTGTTTTGAAAATACGAGATGCTAAAGGCCAGGATGTCAGATTGTTGTGTCTGGGTTGCTGATTTATGATCCATAGCCTTGACCTCTCCAAAGAGTTTTCTGAATCCTTCAGTAATGACTATTTCTTTCATCCCTGGAGAGGCAAGGATGCCCTTCACTCATGGCCACTTGGGTTGGAAACAATGAGCTTCCACTGGAAAGTGGTTTGCTGTGGACCCAATGGAAGGGCAGGACCTTGGCCCTGGGCCTGGGAGAGTCTTCTGACCTTGGGTCCATCCTGGGCCTGCTTACAGGTCCTGAAGGCTGGGCTCTGCCCTGAGCTGTGTGGCCAGTGGAAGTGTGGTATCGGGGACCCCCTGTGGTATTCTGGGCTGTTTAGAACTGCCCGGTGTGTGGAGAATGATTACACTCAGTAATTGAGTTGTCCAGAGCCCAAGATTGCTGAGTACAAGGGTGTATATCAGTGGCAAAGTGAGTAGGAAGAGCTCGGGGCTGGGGCTGAGGGTCAGGAGACCCAAGTTCAAGTCCTGGCTCTGTGACTGCTGTGAGTGAGTCACTTTACTCTTGAGGGCAGAGAGTTCCCCACCTCTCTGTGACATGGTATTAAAAGCCCCAACCTCCCTGAGATGTGGTGAGGACTTGTCTTTAACATGAACGGGCTTGAAGGGCTTTGGAAGGCAGATGCTGTGGCTGTCCTCGGGGCAGGAGTGGCATGTCTGGTTTTGCGTGCGAGTGGCATTAATACAGCATTAGCCGTGTGGAGCCTCGCGCGACCTGGCATGACTAGGGTGTGTAACCGATGTCCCCAGCGCCTTTTTAGAAGCATTCACTTCCTGTTCCCCACCCTGGTGTATGTATGGCTCTGCTCCGGTTTGCCAGGGGGTAGTCTGAGCTCCTTGCCAACGGTGTGAATGCTTCCTGTGCTCGTGGGAGGCAGCAGTAGAATGTTCACACCCTTACCTCTTGCTGCTCTCCACTGGGATCCGTGATTCCAGAGGTGTCAGTGTGCTCATGTCACCCTACATACCATGCTCAGGCCACGCCGCCTCCAAGGAAGGCTCTGCTCACCCCATTCCTCACCATGACCCCGTATCCATCTTCCATGAGTCCATTCAAGTGCCACTTGCCTTGTGAAATCTTCTCTGAGGACTCAGCCCCGATTCTGTATGTTCCTCAGACCTCCTCGTGCTGTGTAAAGCTCCGTTAGCACTGTCGGGTTTGAGGTCAAATGTAAACCGATCACCCCCACTCAACGGATTGCCAGTTGCAGAGAGGCAGGGACCATGCTGTTGACTGCACTTCTAGCCCATAACACCTCTGCGGGGACCAGGTACATAGTAGATGCTTAGAAATGGCAACGGGCCCTGGGCCCAACTGGAAGGCAAGACTCTGAGCAAAACCAAACAGCTTTTTCACTGGACAGCCTTCTCCTGTCACCTCCAGAGGGCTTTAGCCTTGACTCAGAAAACCTCGGGGAGAGAAGAAATCCCTTTATGAACAGGTGGGGATTGGTCAATCCCTCCTTGTCTAGTCCCCCATTAGGTAGAGATGGCTGAACTGGCAGAAGCCAGAGAAAGCCTAAGGATGGTGAACGCTCACTCTACCTCCCTTGTCCCTGCAGGTCACCGAAGTGAATTTGAACAACATGCTGTGTCCGGCCATCTCAGACCCATTCTACGGCCCCTGGTATCGCATCTGGGCCTCGGGACACCAGACTCTCATGACCATGACCCACGGGAAGCTGGTCATCCTGTTCTCATACATGGCTGGGCCCTTGTGTAAATATCTGCTGGATTTGCTCCGGCTTCCAGCCAAGAAAATAGACTGAAGGTGCTTGTTTTTTGTTTTTTGTTTTTTTTTTTCCCTCCCCGAGGAAGCAAGTCCCGACTTGACTTGGAGAACACCCAGTTCTTGATGAAATCATGGGAGAGGGCAGTAGGATGTTTGGTGTATTTCTTTTTCCTCTTCTCTGTCCCTTTCTTCCACCACTCTTCCTTCCCCAGCTCTTCCCCTCAGGATGTCTCCTCAACCCGGGGTGTAGTGCTGGGGGCTGGATTTTCCCTCCTTCCCTTTGGCTCTTTCTCTCTGCTCCTAGTGGCCTTACATGGGGAGATTGGAGTCAGTGGCTCTTTCACTCTGCTTGTTGGTGCTTTAACAACAGCTGGTTGAGGAGAAAGGGAACAACAAGCAGTAGTTCTTCTGGCACCGAAGTGATGAGATTGGATTGTGTTTCATCTTTCCACTGCCAGGGACCTCCAGGCTTATGCTGGGGTCCCCTTTGGTCTCCAGCACAGCCCCCACTGTCAGGGAGCTGAGGCCTTGTTTCTATACCAGCGGTAAGCCCAGAGCCAAGGGATTTCCCCGCTCATGGTCAAAATAGAACCAGCCAGATTCTTCCCACTGGTGTCCCATGACTCAAAGCAAGCAGCCAACCACCCACTCCCTCCAGGATGCTGCCTGGGGTAGGAGGTGGAAGCGCCTCTCAGCCCAATGGCTAGTTTCCATTGAGGGGATTGGAGATCTATTGCAGCGACAAATCCAAAGCAAAGAGAGTCAACATTCACACAGTACTAGGCAGGACCCTGTGTAAATTCTGCCCATGAGAGCTGAGAACTGACCCATATCTCAATCAGAAATGAGCACAGAAATTAATCAATGGAAATGGTAACTTGAGAAAACTGTGATTTGAATCATACACACTGTTTCAGTTTAATGTTGATAGCAGATACCATTTTAATCTTTAGTGCCCCTTAAATGTGTTCTCGTATGTTCTTTCTTGCTCGCTCGCTCGCTCTCTTTCTCTAAGGCAGCTTCAGGGAAGAATGAGCTGGAGTTGGTTTGTTGGTTTGGGGATGTTTCAGTCTGCAGAGTACTTGCGTCAGGGTCCATTCGTGGACGTTCCTGTAGATCCATGTCTTGGTTTTACAGGGCATGTCAGTGTCCAGGTTTTGGGGAGATGTGGCTCCTGCCAGTGTTGTTTCCCTAGGGCCAGATTCCTTCAGTGGAGCCAGACTAAGTACTGAACTGTTTCACGTGGGGGGCATCACATGCTCTCCACCCTGCCCCCCAAAAGCCCATGTCTCGGTTGAAAGGGAGCTGCCAAGGAACCAGGTCCCCATGGGTGGAGGTTCAAGTGCTTTGCAAGGAGGAGCTTTTGTTGAAGGACTTCAGCTCAGTCATGCATGAACCTCAAGAGGGGAGGCAGGGACTGGGCATTTGCTGACTCCTGGTTGACTCCTACTAGGAACAGATCTGCTTAAGAGCAGAAGAGATCACTCAATGGCTTCCTCTGGTGAGCCTCCCCTCCCCTGTCTCTAGGCAGCCCAGTTGCCCTAGGTCAGTTCCAGTATTTCCAGTTTGTCTGTGTTAGACCTACATTGAGCTTCAGTGACTCAGTGGTCATGACTTTAGCAAATGGGCCTGTAGGAGGCAGCAGAAGGCGGAGAGCCTCTCTGAGTGAACTCAGGCCCAGGGAAGCAGCCCTGAGAGGGACTGCCCTACGGCATAGGCCTCCTGGCATTGAGGGAATAAGTCTCCAGGGTGTGGGGTACAGGAGGAGAGAACATTGAGTGCCCTTGCTGCCCATGAGCTCCTTTTGACATGTCACCTTTGTTTTCTGCCTTCTTTGAGAGCTAGGCCAAGCTTTTCTTAGTGCCTCTCACCCTAGGGCTGCCCTGTAAAGAGGCACCTCTTGAGTGACTGGATTGGCCCTGCCCACCATCAAGCTGCTGTGCGTAGGAGTGGCTGGTGGCCTCAGTGCCCCTTGGCCTCTTTACAAAAGGAGACGTTGGAAAGAGGTCGTGGGAGGAGCCCCTGGGGGCCTGGCCTGTCTCCTACTAGGACGTGGAGTTGCTGCAGGCAGAGGATCCCTACCTCAGATGGGGACCAGCTCTGGAATGCCACTGTGGTGTGACTGTGTAGGCCCTCTCTTCCCCCGTCTCTGTGGCATGGCCCAGGTGGCCAGGCAGCTCGAGCTTTCCCCACATTGGCATGCCTCCAAAAGCTTGCCTTTGCCCTGGCTATAGCTCAGCGCCCCATTCTGGTGGGCACTTTCCGGTGCTCCAAAGGAGAGAAAAAAGTGAAAGCCACATGCCTGGCATGGCCAGGCCAGAGACAGATACAGCTGTCAGGGGTAGGGGGGAGTGAAGAGGAAACGCAGGGCTTCTGGGGACCAGGTTGGCTCAGAAACATGTAGGTCGAACGAGCAGATAGTAGGCCCGGTCCACAGGCTCCACAGGGAGTCATGGCTGTATTTGGGGTGTTGGGGAGCAGCAGGCATCTGAACTGGTCTTTGTCTCACTCTTACCTTGGGCCAAGTCCATGTGGAGAGAGGTAACCCAGCCAGAGCCCCGGCAGCCTGGCTTAGAGGGTAGCCCTCACACCTGCCCAACAGCTAGCCTGCTTCTGCCCCAGCTTTGGCGCGAGGGTGAGGGAGAAACCGCAGCATGCACACACAATGACCAGTGAGCCCTGGCTTCCCGACTCCTCCCCAAGGCTTTCCTGCCAGTGCCAAGGCGGTTCCCCAGCCGCCCCAGCCAAGTTTCCATATGCCATTTGCCAGTGTGTGGGAGCTCTGTGCATGTGTGAGAGTGTGTTTGTAGAAGAGGACAGTTTCCTTTCAAACAGCTCTTGGAAGGAAAAGAGTGTTCCCTCAACCTCTAGGTAGCCTTGGTGGAGGATCTAGGCTGAGGAGAACAGTCTGTCAAGCTGGACAACTCGTGGCATCCACTCTGAATAGCAGAGAGATGATCACACCTGCCCGCAGTCCTCCCCTCCCTGAGTATTAGGTTTTGTACACCAAAGGTGATCTGGCCCATCTTCCTCCTGGAGGCACAGTGACGTGTCCCTCTGTCAGTTGCGAGGGTGTGCGGGGTTCCGAAGCCACAGACTCATTCTCCCCAAGTCGGCAACCTCTCTTTCTCCTTGGACTTTTTAGCATTCACAGAAGCTGCTCACAGGGTCGTCGGGCTAACCGGGGCGATCGGCGCACTTTACCATACAGTACCTCGGTCTCGCTGTCATATCATCCCTTTTGCTGTAGCCTCTGTCAGGGTTTTGATATTTGTGATCATTGGTAGTTCAGTGTCTTGCAGGCAGCTCCCCACAGATAGCATATTGTCAGCAGGTCTCGGGGCAACGGTGTTAGGTAGGGTGGGGCCGTGCCCTGGGGGTGAGCTGGTGGCCCAGAGGGTGGCAGAAGGGGCCTTTCTCCCCCTCCCTCTGCCAAAAAGACTTCCCTGGGATTGTAGATGTTGACCCAGAATCATCTGTCCCCTTCAGTAGAGGATTTTCTTACTGGTTTCTACTGAAGGGGTGCTCGGGGAGGAGGAATAAAGGACCATGTGTGCTGCTGTCGGACAAGACACCGATGCTGGCTGGGATCAGTCAGGAGCAGGCATACGGGAGGGTTTCCAGAAGGCTGTCACGGGCTTCATGGCAAGAACCTGGGCTGGGAAAGGGCCACCCCTGCTGCCCACCCTGCCCTCTCTGGGGTGGGTAGAGTCAGTGAGAGGGAGGGAGCCTTCCCCTGTGTATATAGAGTGAGGCAGTTCGTGCTCAGGAAAACCTAGTCGCTTTTTGTTGCTATCGTCTGTGACGTTTTTGTACACTGGTTTGCTGCTCATGGCACGAAACAGAAAAAAAACCCCATGAAGAACCAACAAAACAAAAGAAGTCCTTTCAAACAAAGCTGTTGTTTTGGAAACTCTTGCTTTCCTTTGGTGTCAATTTTGTGTTCTCTTTGAAAGAATTCTTCAATTATATTGGTGTCATTGTGGTCATGATAGGCTGGCCTGTGTGATTATTTCTGCCAGGAACTTGGCAAATGCCTCCGCCCCTCCCTCTTTCCCTGCCCCCCATCTTGTCCTTCCTCGTTTCCAAGCTGGGATTGCTATGCATTGGGCAGACCCCTCTCTGTCCCCCCACACACAGTGGCTCCCTTCAAAACCAGTCTTTGTAACCCCTCAAACAGCAGCAGAGTGAGTGTTTTTTCCAGACTGGTTCTCGGGTGCTCTGTGCCCCCACTGGTTTGCTCACCTCTTGGGGCGTTTTGTAATTGTGTTTTCTCTGTTTTGTAAAACCTTTTGATTGTACTGAAATGGTTTCTGCAGTCACCTTTGGAAATAAATGGTCATTAATTTGTGTATTTAGCGTTCTGAATTTTAGTCTCAGGTGTTTCTGTTGTTGAAGATCCCAGAATGAAAAGGAACCCTCACCATGAGACTTACTGCTACAATGTTTTCTTCATTTACTGTTATTAAAAGATTTATGAGAACCCAGGAGCCCTGGCCTTGCTTCCCAGAACCCTCTCAGAAGGCCCTCCGCTTTGCAAAGTAGACAAAAGGGGCTGTTGGCCCTCCACACCATGGAAGACCCCCAAAGGACAGCCAGGCCCTCTTAGCACAGTGCGGCCCTGGGAGCCATTTGTCTAGATGGCCTTGAATTCCCACGCGCTGCCTACGTCCACCCAGGCTGCCGGGGACGCAGCAGGCTGTCTGCTCTTAGCAGGCTTATCCGCTCGGCACATCTGCTGGGCTCTCTGGGCCTCGGGGTGCTTGGGGCCTGGCCGGATGACTGAGCTAGGGAGGGCAACTTTGAAACCAAACACATTCAGGGCCACACAACCCAGGTTTCCTAAGGGCCAGCTCAGTGCCCAGCAGCACAGGCCTGTGCCCAGCATGCGTCACACTGTGAACAGGATAGTCCTGCCCTTTGGGGAACAGTCAGACCTGCTTTTCCAAGGCTACCCACTCAGTAGTCTGTGGTGACTGACAGGCCTGGCCTGCCTTTTTGCACCAGGCAGAGGCCCTGCTCGGACTTTTGCCAGTGCTGCTCCTTCTAGAAGAGACATAGCCAGACAGGCACACGGTATAGGGAGATTTCCTCATTTGCCAGGGGTTGGGCACCCAGGCTGTGAATGGGGCAGGGCCTTGCAATCCTGGACTAGAAAACTACCAGCTTGGGCAAGTCACTACTTCTCTTGCTGCCTCAGGTTCTCCATTTGCAAAGCAGTAGCTACAGCTGTGTGCCAGGCACAGTGCTAAACCCCTCTAGACACATTACCTCTTATAATCCTTGCGGAAGTGTGGGGAGCCGATTTGGCAGGGAGAAACAGAGAACACTGAGGTGCTCTACTACATTGGGGATCTTTCCACGCTCTGCTGGGCTCTGCTGTGCTGGCATTGCTGGGCAGACCCTCGCCCAGGGACCCCCGGGCCTTAGAGAAGTGGGAGGAGAGCCAGGCAGTGAAGCGGAAGGCAAGAGAGAGAATGCAGAGACCCACGAGCGTGTGAAGCAGAGGACCCCAGGCTTGCCAGTAGCAGCCTCGGAGCAGAGCCGCAAGGCACAGGAGGAAAGGGGGCCCGACATGGCCAGGGAAGGCCAGAAAGAGGCTGGTGGAGAGGAGGTGATGCGAGTTGGCCTGTGGCCTTTCTCTGTTTTCCTTTTCAGAAAGAGCTAATGGCCAGTGGCCTAGGCCATTCCCTTCTCTCCCCTGGGCAGTGCACCATGCCCATCCCCTGCTCCAGTCTGTACTTCCTCCTGCAGGCACAGTTTTTTCCAAATGCAAATATGCATCACTTCCCTGGGCCCCTGGGAAGATTGCCCTAGAAGATAATGTCCAGCCTCCTTAGTGTGACACACAGGCCCTGTAAGCATCTTTAGCTGCGTTTCCTCACCCCACACTTCCAAAGGAACCGTGCGAAGAGCCCCTCAGCTCCAGCCGGATTGCACTCCCCGTTAGCTGTGCCATGCCATTTGCCACTTCCCTTGCCTTTTGTTTCCTTTGCGCTGTTTTCTCAGGTCTCCACTCTCCCTTTTCATCCTACGGCCTCGACTCCAACCTTAGCTCCTCCCTGCAGGCTTCCCTGAGCCCCAGCTGTGGGAGGTGCCTGTCCCTGTGGCTCCAGTAGCACCCACTGCTGCCTCTGGCTGCCACTTGCCTCCCTCTGTAGGCATCAAGCCCCTGGAGGGCTGGGCAGGGTGTGGCTCATCCTCTAGCCCCAGCACAGGACCAGTTCCATTAGAAGGTGCTCAGTGAACAATGACCTTATCCCTGGTAGGTGGTAGGTGGCACCCCTGTTCCCCGTGGGAGAACCCTGGGCTGCAAAAGCCATCGCACAGCTCATGGGTTCTCCTGGGTGGGGCCAGGATGCCTTCGTTTGCTCAGGCACCTCAAGCTCCTTGCTCAGGGGCCCCATCCTGCTTCCCTGCAGGCCTCTGTGTAGTCGGTGTCCTGGACGAGACGGCAGTAGTGTGAGGGAAGAGCGCCGAGGCCAACAGCAGCTGTTCACTAGACCCTGGTGGCTGGAGCAGTGGTGAGGCTGGCAATGTGTGGTCGGACAGGAGACCATCTCTGTGGCTCATGCTGCTGGCCCTGCTACCAATATGTCAGGGAAGCAGCCACCCTCGTTGCTAAGACCTGCCTCATGGGGACATGTGGAGGCTACTGGCTGGCTGGAAGGCGGGAGTTGCGGAACTGAAGTTAGGGAGTCAGGACCTCTGGGCAGGGGATGGGCAAGGTGTCCAGCTGCTTTGCCATATCCTTGGTATCTGTTCATCACCACCAGAGTCACCCCTTCTTTCACTGGGGCACATCGAATTGTTTATATGGCAAAAGCCCCACCGGCCCATGGACTGTATCATCTAGCCCCCACGCCCCCTCCCCTGAGGGTGGAAAAACAGCTTGGGATGGTTATGACCTGATCCCCAATGAATCTTTCCCTTGTCCTGGTTTGCCAAGGCCGGTGGATAGTACAGATGCACAGATGTCAGCCTGACAAATGCAATGGTTTATTCAAAGGGCAAGTGGTTTACTAACGTTGGCCGAAGTCAAGGACTCTGTTACTGCCTGTACCTGCTCTCCCTACAGTCAGCATCCTGCCCAGCATCTGGATTGCGCACCTGGGATGTCTGAGCTGCTGGCCAGAGGGGTTTACGTGCCCCCAGGGACGCAGCAGGGAGAGGCTGCTCCTGTTGCTAATGGATGCCCTCCACAGCCAACTCCGTAACTTCAGTTCCGCAACTCCCGCCTTCCAGCCAGCCAGTAGCCTCCACATGTCCCCATGAGGCAGGTCTTAGCAATGAGGGTGGCTGCTTCCCTGACATATTGGTAGCAGGGCCAGCAGCATGAGCCACAGAGATGGTCTCCTGTCCGACCACGCATTCCCAGCCTCACCACGCCTCCCTGCACACTTCTGCACCTCCCTTCTCCATCCAAGGGGCTGTAGAGGTGGGGCCAGCCTGCCATTGCTGTACCTTCAGCTGCTCCTTCTCTAGTATCCCGGAGCTCCAAGCTTTTTGCTGTTGCGTTTTTTGAAAGACCCTGGGCTCTCTGATATTCTGTCCCCCAAGAATGGAGGGCCCTTCCTGTGCATTCCAGGACATCCCCTCAGGTTTCTAGCAAGTTCAAGCTAACAAGATATTATAGTACAGTGGCTTGTCTGTTTTGTTGCATATGAATCACCTGGGGAGCTTTAAAAATCTCAGTGCCCAGGCCTCACCCAAGCTCCTAATTCAAAGCAAACTTTTTTTGCTTTTAAGTTTCCAGGCAGGTTGAGTCATCTCTTTGACCTGGCCACCTACACAAGTGCTTTTTTAAAAAATGAAATATTTAAGACATACCAAAAGATATAAAAAATGATACCTAAATCCAGCTGAAGAAAAAAAACATTACCAATACAACTGAAGCCCCGTACTCTAGAGGTTTAGAAATTGTCCCTCGGCACCCCAGAGATTCTGGGGACGTGCCTTAGAGGCCACCTTGGGGTTGGGAGATGGGTGGGAGCAGAGTGGGTGGGGTTCTGGCCTTTCCCGTTGCTCCATCCAGAAACTCTAATTTTATTCTGTTTTGTGCATTGAGGTTTTGTAAAGAATCTCATGGGAAAAGGGGTTAAAAGCCACTTCTTGACACCCTTTCTAGTTCTGTCTCTACCTCCTTCTTAAATAGTGGTCATCCTGTGGTAGTCAAAGCAGCATCGCAGGAAAACTCAGCAGACAGGGCCTGCTGTCCCACTTCTCCCCTCTTAGGTCCTGGGTCCCCTTGGAAAAGTCACACCTCCTCTGAACTCCATTTGTAAAATGGTAACAAATACCCTTGTCCTGCCTGTCCCATAGGCAGCTGCGAGGAATCCAGTGAGATCAGTGGGTGTGAGATGGTTTATATACTGCATTGTTCAGTCCAATGGAAGGAGTTCCTATTTCCAGACAGCGTGGTTACTGTGCTTGTTCTCAGAGCACAGAGGTGAGCTGGGGTTTTGACTGCGCTCACCCACTGTGCCTTAATATGCCCTGTGTGGTTGGGGTGTGTGTGTGTGTGTGTGTGTGTGTGTGTGCTGGAGAGGCAATACCTCAGTTTTAAGGAATTTTTTCTCTATTTCATTGACTCTAAGACATACAGTTTTTCATGTCTTCACATCTCTAAAATTGGAATACATCTAACAGTGTCACGACACAATTTAATAGGCAACATTTTTTTCGTTTTTAGTGGTACATAAAATAAGGGATATCTTATTATCTAAGGTGTCTTAGGGTCAACGAAATACTGTAGTTATTAACTTGGATTCCTCTTCCTCATCCCCCATGAAAGTTACCTTCCTGCTAGAGAAAAACCCTTTGGAAAAATTTCTAAACATGCTTTTAGCATATAGCCTCATTCTTACTCTGTCTTCTTGTTCTTCCCTGCCAGCATCCACCCAGGCCAGGCACGCTTTCTGCTTCCTGACCAGAGGGGGGCCCACTTTGTTGAGCTGTCTCTTGGGACAGATGGTTTGTGGGACATGAGAGGGAGGAGGCAGAGTGCACCTGCACAAGGAAGCCCACTGTGCCAAATGACAGGGAGTGAGCCAGACACGCCAGGCCAGCCAGCCCCAACAGCTCTGGTTTCTTTATTTCCCAACCACAGCCTGGCCAGACAGCTCGCCTGCTTCCCCGGGGAACTCCTAGGGCTAGTCATTGCCAGAGGTGAAGTGAGCTGGAGGGAGTGGGGGTGGGGAGCCCAGCCTGCCCTGAAGCCTCTGGGTTGACATGACTGGTTGTCTGGTACACACAGAACAAGACAATGATTTCCCCACCTCTTCCAACAAGGTGGAAGAAGGGTTAGGCTGTGAGCCTTCTAAAGAGAAGCACCACTTTGTCTTAGGGCAGCCTGAGCCGTGGGCATTTCATTGCAGTTACAAATTGCCACCAACCTTCCCTTAATCCTGGCAGCCACTCAAATTGAGCTGGGCCCTTGTAACCTTTAGGCCAAGCTCTTCCAGAAGGGGAGAGGAGTATCTG